CGCTCTCATCAATGACCGCTTTCACATTCTCCGGTCTGGAAAGCGCCGGAGAGCGCTTTCCCAGTGCGATGGTAGTGTTAGCAGAATTGAATTTGGTGGGATCCGAGGAGGGAAATTTGGGACAGCGAACATTAGGGTTAGGGTTAGGGTTAGAAGAGAGAGTTTCGGGAAGGGGAACGAAAGGGCGGCCGCTGAAGCAGGAGATTGCCTTGAGGGAGAGGTCAAGGGATGAGACAATGTCAGGGACGATGTTTTGCAGGGAGGCGATAAGGTCCAGCTGAACGTTGTGAACGTTCGCCGCACGGGATTCTAGTTGTTGCCTCAACTCCTTCACCGCCGTCATCTCATCGTTCCCGCCATCCGATTGCGCATCCATTGTTTTGAGTCTAGAATACAGCTTAGCGGAAGCTACACGCTCAAAACGATGACGACGACAACAACATTAATATTTGTAGGGATAAGGGCCAAAAAGACACTAACTTTTTTAATGAACCTTGACATTAGGTTTTTGATGGACCAAATAAATCCAATTTTAAACTTTTACCTTCATTTCTAGCCATCCACTAACATTCCATTCAAACTACCGTTACCCAGGTAAATGAACCAAACAACCCCCAAGTCCACCAAGTGATTTATTCCAGTATAACAGTAGCAGTATCCCATTTTTTACTGAACATCAACATCGCCGGAATCCTCACCACGAGCAAAGATTCAACAAACAACAGTACTATTATAGGGAAAGGGAGAACCACCATTCCAACCAATTTGGGGATTACTACCACTCACAACCTCGTTCCTATTGGTACGAGGACAACACCCCTGGGCACACATGAGTCCCGTCCAACACTGAACACAGATGGTTGAGACCCAAATATCAAATTAGGGACTTTAGCAGTCGACAATTTCCTATTCCCAGGTATTTTGCTTCGAGACCTCCCCTCAAGTATGAACTCAGCCATGTTCAACCAAGAAATCAACAACACACTACAGCCGGAAATCAATTCAGGGATTTCGGCAACTAGAAATTGACCAATCCCATACAAGAAGTACAACCACATCCTTCTCACCGCCAACCACAATCGGAGCAGAGATATCCCAACGTTGCAGCTCGTACTCGAAAGTCTGGGATTCAGAAGAGCCCTGGTGCAAAGTCAAACACAAGAATCGTCTTCCTCCTCTCCTCGCTCAGCCCAACACGAATTCTAATCGTTACCACTCCGGCAACGAATGAACTAAAGGGGCACATCGACCTTGAACAGCCTTTTTCGCCGGAAAGAAAAAAAAGGGTTGTTGGATGTATATTGGGGTGGTGGTGTTTAATCGTAGGGGAAAGGGCTTTTGACGGGAAACGGGTGTTAGAACAGAAAGTTAGTGGGTGGTTTAAAATTAGGGTAAAAGTTAGATTTTGTGTTTATTTGATCCACAAAAAACCTAAATGTCTTATCCGAGATTCAATAAAAACCTCGATGTCATTTTTTATCCTTCTCCCATATTTGTACGTTAGGGATGTTTTTACTAGTTTTCTCTCTCTTCTATTTTTTTATGATCTGTGTGTCTGTGCTTGCGTTCCCCTGATTCTAGAGTTTATTGACTATCCTCCAAATCCTTCTAGACAGGTAAATCCGGATATGATCACAATCAGCCTCGTTGGTATTGGTACTACAGGACGAATCTAGCAGGACTTCCTTTCAACTGAATGCAAAATGGTTTTTTTTGGCCTTTCAATTGAATCCAGAAGGGTCGCGTCCTCCCACCACGCGAACCCGAGCTTGAATTTCCATCCCCTCCCTTCTTAGCCGCTGAAGATCGGAAGAATCATTGGGAGCAAGACCCCCTCCTCTCCCCTAAATGTGTCTAGCGGGAATCGAACCCGAGACTAGGGGTGGAAATAGGTCAGGCCAGGCTTTCGCCTAAACAGGTCGGGCCTGTTTTAGAATATATAGGCCTGAGTCTGGCCTGTTACCTGTTAAAGGCCTTGTTTTTCGGCCTGAGCCTAGCCTGGCCTGAAGCCTGAAGCCTGTTTACTGGGCCTGTTAAGAAAAAAATAATAAAATTTCAAAAAAATAAAAAAAATAAAAGTGAAAAATCCTTTTAACCCGGTATAAAATTTATTCCCCCAAATATTCACTAAAAAATCTAATAATACGTTAGTTTTGCTTTGGATGTCTAATAATACATTATTATGTAGTGAAAATAAATTTCTATGTAATTCAAATATTGAAAAACTTGAATTTCAATTATCTTAATAAACTATTAAAGCACTTTATATATATTTAAAATAGTATTTTATTCTAATTTATAATACACACTCCATAAAAATGCTACTATGCCGAATTTGATATAGTTAAGTATACCAATATAAATGTAAAAAATATACTACTTAAATAAATATAATTAAATACACACACACACATAAATAGGCCGGTCTGTTAAGATAAAAAGGTTTCAGAGTTGGGCTAGGCCTGACCTATTTAGATAAACGGGCTTTTTGAAAAGTCCAAACCTAGTTTGATTACTAAACAGGCTAGGCCAGGCCAGGCTTTTAACAGGCCAGACCACAGGCCCCTGACAGGCCGGCTGGCCTATTTCCACCCCTACCCGAGACCTTAGCTAGACACGGTAACTTTGCTTCGAGTGGACTGGAAAGCCCGGTTTCACTAAAAAACTAAGGTATGGGTAAACTTTTTATAGTGAATAGCTCCATCGCTTTCACGGTCCTTTACCCCAGAAACCCAACTTTGGCTTGGCCCTACGGGTTAGTATACACCGCTTGGCCCTACCACTTGAAGGGTTTTTTGGGGGAGCATAGTTCCACTGGTGCTAGTGGGACTCGAACACGAGACATCTTCTATGCAGGGGTAACCTCACAACAACCTAGGCTGGAAGTGATGGGAATTTGCTAGTTTTCTCCGTACCACACTTGGGTGTTTTTACTTGGGACGGGAATTTGCTAGTTTTCTCCTAGGTGAAATGTGCTGATCTAATCTCGTCTTGTTTGGTTTGGTAAATGTCTAATCTTTGTATATTTAATAATTATTCAAGTTTGATCCGGTCTGATCTGATCTGGTTTGGGACTGAAAACAGTCTAAGTAAAAACATCTTTGACAATTATACCAATTTATACCAAACAATTGAAACATAAAATTTAAGTCCAATTAAAAATTAAAAATATCTTAAGACAAACTGCACATGTTTTGCTTAGATTTATAATGTTTGGCACACATTACACATAAAATCCCTCTCTTTTACACATAGTCTCGACTTATTCTTTCTTTTTTCCACCATCGTCCCTTCATCTTCCTCACTCTATCTCTATCCATCACAATCTTCACCATTTTTCACATTCCTTATACATCACCTCATCATCTTTCCCATTATCATCTTCTAAAATCGATTAGAACAAAGTTTGAGAGTCGCCAGAAAGTCGTCGGAAAATTGTATACAGACAACAATTTTTTTCAATGCATGTGTACACAAACAAAAAATTTTAAGCATATACAAAAACTGCACAAATTGTCTGTCTACATATAACTAAAAGTCCGTGCACACACATTGACTTGCGTGCTCTGACACGGAAATGGAAGTTGCGAGAGAAGAAGGCTGTCAGGAGCTCTTCCGGCGTAGATCAGAGATGGTTATGGTATTAAAGGATATTTTTGTACTTTTCAGAAAATTACTACTTTACAATCACAAACACTCCAACTTTTACATTTTAATTAAAATCATTTCTATTCCCAAACACTACCTAGTTTTACAACAAATCACTTTTCCAATAATCTCTTAAAAAATCACTTTTAATAAGCATAACTGCACAAGCAATCCAAACACTCCATTAAGTACGGAGTATGAAGTTATGAACAAGTCTATTTAAATTTGATCTTAACTTGGTAAACTCACAAGTGCGTATGTACTCCCTAAATTTTAGTATTTTCTCAGCCTGCGTAGAGTTCTTGAGAGAATTGTTGGAACAGCATTAATAATTAAAATTAAGAGTAATTCTTAAAAATATAAACAAAAATGGGTACACTTTTTGAACAGTGGCAGGTGTATACAAACAATTTCTAACTTTTTCAAACAAGATGATTTGAAAAACAATCTCTATATTACCAAGGCCGTCTAATAAATTTGGAGGCCCTAATTTAAAATCTAAAAACAGGGCCCCACATTAATATAAAAAGTTTTAAAAAACCCTCAATCTAAATACTTATATACTCAAATCAATTGAATATTGATTAAAAGATAACTAAAAGGGTAAAAGGACCAACAACAAAATGATGGATTTATATTTTTCTTCCTTACTAAGTAACTATATTTTAGTGATTAGTATTAATATATAATATTACTATATAATATTAATAAAATTTTAAAAAATTGGGGCCCCGCAAATTTGGGGGCCCTGTTCTGGATAACCTATTGAACTCCCTAAAAAACGGCCCTGTATATTACAAACGTAAAATAGAGAATGTACACAAACTGTACAACTAGTTTTTTCAATAATCAAAATCTAGTCATAAGTAAGGGTGGACTCGGGCCCGGCGGCCCGGCCCGGTCACTGTTTGAACCGGCCTGAACCGCCGGCCCGGCCAGGGACCGGTCCGGGTAGGCCCGACCCGCTGGGGTTCCGGGCTGGGCTCGGGCCCTTGAAAAGTGAACCGGCCCGGCCGGTTCGGGCCCGGGCCGGGCCTATTTATTTATTTTTTCTTTGTTTTTTTGAATTTTTTCAAGTTTTTGGGTTGGGCTGGGTATTTTGGGCCATTTGAGGTGGTTTGGGGTGGTTTGGGGGTGAGGGTTGGGGGTTAATTAGGAAAAGCCAAAAAAAAATTAAGTAGAACCGAGACCCGGCCTGGCCCGGCCCGAACCGGACCCGGGGGTTACCCGGGCCGGTTCCGGGCCTCCCCTTTCATGAGGCCCGGCCCGGCCAGGCCCAGGCCCGAGTCCAACCCTAGTCATAAGTCATAACTCATAACAGTCTACTACAAGAACCTTCTCACAAAACACAATGACAAGATTCAAATCAAGAAAACAATGTCACTAAATCATAAAGGCTCACCCTGATCATTGAGTCATTTTCTTGGACCAAAAGGAACAATAAAATTTCCCGATGGCAACTAAATCAAAATAACTAAACACACTGACAAGATACAAATCAAGAAAATAATGTCAATACATCATAAAGGCTCACCCTGATCAATTGATCATTGAGAAAGCGACCCATTTTTTTTTACCAAAAGGAACAAAAAATTTCCCAGATGGCAACTAAATCACAATAAGTAAAAAAAAAGTACATTTGTTTGAGAAACTATGAAGCTATAGATGAACCATCAGAAGGCGTCTCTTCCTTTTTGTAATCCATTTCCTCCTGCAATTTCCGATTGACTCCTGCCTCTTCCTCACAAGTTCACGGCAATGTTGTAGATATTGCATATCAAAAGCATCCATTTCTCGCTTCAAGGCATCTCCCTCGTGATCCTTTTCTGCTAAAGAGAGAGAAGAAATGCCCAAACTAGTACTGCTAGGGTTGGCATTCACCAAACATTCTTCATCAACAGATCTAAATGTTTTCTCATGCTCATCAAGCTTCAAGGATGGTTGGACAAATTCTTTGATGCTTTTATCGGGAAAGACTATCTGTTCAGTGGTTCCTTGGCTGACATCCCCTTTTGATTCATTCTTCGGAAGAGAGCTTGTAGAAATGGGATTTGTAGTCAACCTGCCATATGAGCTGTTTGCAGCACCCAAACTTTTACAAGATGGCTTCAAGTTTGGGACAAGTTTTAAAACCAAGCTATCAATCAAGTCACCTATTACAGTCACATCTTCGTTTGACAACTCAAGTTGTTCTACCATCTCACCAGCAATTGAGAGAGCTGTGTCACTTTCAAGGTAGAACATGAAATCAATATTTCTCACTTTACCTGTCAACAACAAAGAGAAATCCAAGGGTTAATGATATTATTAAGATATACTTTGTATGATGATTCATCCCTTTGTATGTGTAAAATTTAGGCACATAATACATACCACCAGAGTCAGCAATTCGCATATGCAAGGAAATTGAATTTTCGTCGCACAAATCCCCTTCTAATCTAAACTCATTCTTCTCACTGCAGCTCAGAAACTCAAAGTTTTGGGGTGTCCCACTCTTACTTTCTGCATTACCGGGCCTACTAGACATTATGGATGAAGAAGCAGTGTCCACCAAGGGAGATTCAGACTTTGGCAAGCCTATGCATTTTGACGTAGAGCTTGAGCTCAGTAAAGGACCATAACCAAGTTCCATTGAACTAGCAGAAGAAGTGAATGGGTCTTTCAATAGTTCTACTGCACTCGACAGTTGAGAAGCAGGGAGTAAACTTTGGAGTGTCCCGCTCTTACTTTCTGCATGACCAGGCCTACTAGACATTCTGGATGAAGAAGCAATGTCCACCAAGGGAGATTCAGAACTTGGCAAGCCTATGGATTTTGATGTATAGCTTGAGCTCATTAAAGTACCAAAACCAAGTTCCGTTGAACTAGCGGAAGAAAGGAACGAGTCTTTCAATAGTTCTGCTGCACTTGACCGTTGAGAAGCAGGGAGCAAACATTTTTCAATAAATTGCTTCACTTCGGGATCTTTAACTTTATCAAGAGCCGCTGGCTTTCTCCCCTGGTATGAGATTATCATCAAAATATTAGGAAGAATGATCTAGGTTGCACAAACACAAATACTCCGTATGGACACACACAGTATAAATAGCTTGCAGATCGTACCGAGGTAACTTTTTTGAAGATTTGTGCAGGATTAATACATTCACTGTATGGGTATTCACTTGTTATCAGCTCCAATAAGCACATGCCAAAAGAGTAAATGTCAACAAGGTTGTCATACTCTTCATCGTAGAGCTCAGGTGCCATGAATTCAGGAGTACCTGTGTGGAAAATAAACAAATAAATAGATTAAATAAGGCTGAAAGGCTGGCTATAGATCAACACAGATAGCACATACAATGGAATCTCCAAAAGGAATAAATCTAATACCAACAACACTCGTGGCAGTAGGCTGCATCATCATCGTAGCCAATCCAAGATCTCCTATTTTAACTTCACCGCTATTCCCATTAATGAAGATATTATCACACTTCAAGTCTCTATGAATAACAGGTGGATTCTGAGTGTGGAGATAATGTAGGCCTTGGAGAATCTGTCGGGCCCATTTCTTGATGGCCTTGATATCGACAACCTTATGCTTCTTCCGATATCTAGCAAAAGGAATCAAGATTGATTACATAATTAACTTGGACGGAAGGGGAAATACGAAGAACACACATGGGGGACAAGGTTTTACAAAACTCACTGCCTCAAACTTCCAGAGCAGAATAACTCAGTGATCATGTTGATTGTTTTCTTCTCAGTATCAACCCAGGAGGAATGCAATTTGATAATATTATCATGCTTCAATGACCTCAGCAAGTGAATCTCCGTGTACAATCTTTCCAAATTCTCAGGAGTCTGTAATGCATCATTTAAGCAGACTTGGTTCCATGCCACCTCAATTCCATTGGTTTCATCAAACCCCTTGTAGCTGCGCATCAATATCAAAAATCAATATTTTTACAATAAAAATATTTTTTCTGCAACAAAAAAAAGGATGAACAAATGAGTATTCCTTGATCTGTTTAAAAAGAGATGGAAGTAAGAAGCATACACAGTCTTAACTGCTCCTCTGCCCAGGATTTCATTATACTGGAAGAAAGCCAATAACAACATTCAAAAATGACCAACAACTAAAAATTCAGTGCGTTAACACAATACAACTATTCAGTTACCATAATAAAGATGTGCACTGAATATATAAATGCCAAAATACAAAAACATGATGACCAGATCCTTACACTTAACACTTTATATCATCAAAATCAAAATGATATTAACACAAAAAAATAAGAGTATAACCGCTTGAAAGATATAATACGAAATACAAAAGAGTGAAAGGCAGAGAGCTGGGTAAGCAGGGGAAAAAAAGGAAATTGAGAATGTACCCTGAGATATCGCTTGTTAGGGGATACTTCGACAACGTCAGACTCAGAAGCTTCTAACGTTCCCTTCCTCGTGGAAGGACACGCAAACTCATCCATCTCCGCAACAAAGGTCAATTCGCCGACGGACGGATTTCGGAGCTCCGAGCTACAGAAGAAAATTAGGGATCAAAGAACGAGACGTTCGGAAAACGCTTCAGAGGCGACGGAATACGAATTAATCATCCTCCCGAACAGGAATTCGCGGCCGAAGAAGTTGTGTTTTTGCGAAATTGAATTCCAGGAAGATTGAATTGCGTTTCTTGACATCTTTTCTCGTCTAACGATTCAACGAACCCCAAATCGAATACTAAATTTGAGACTTTTCATACACGCATGCACAGATTGAGCTGTAAAGGAGGGATGGAAAAGTAGCGCACAATGCAGAAACCCTAGAATATATTCCCGCAGAGAGGAAAGAGGAGTTTTAGGGTTGGAGATAAGGAGCTGGTGATTGAGAATTGATGTAATGCGGAAATCTCGAAGCAGAAGATAAATAGGAGTCTGAGAAGCGGAACAAAGGAAGGTATCAATGAGCGTAATTGGAGTTGGATTCTAACTAACGCCTTCCGGTTTTAACCTGAGAATCTTGACTCGGCCCAAATGCCTATTCCGTATATAGATTGGTACTAGGTTTGTTACGTTCAACTTTGAACAACAAAGGGAAATATCCGCTAAATCTGCATGGGTCCCAATAGCACGGTAAGATAATTGGTCAAAGTGTTGGATGAGGAATAAGAATAATCATATTTTTCGGCTTATGAGGTTATCAATCCACTTTTGTATCAAATACATACCTTTTGATTACGCGCGCTGATTTATATAAGAATAAGAAAAATTAAAATTGAAGTTAATTTTCTTATTATAATGGCTGAAGTTATTGTAGAATATCATTTTAGTTACTTTCATATGATTTTTTCTTTATTTAATTGATAAAATATACTACCGTATTTTAAATATTTTTTTCATTAATCACGAGAATCAGTAAATTCATCCACTTCAGCTAGAAATTCATAAATTTCAGCAAATTCAATCACTGCAAGTGATTTGGATATTACCAAAGGGACTCTTATTAATAATACTAAAACACAAAGTACTATCGTACTAAAGTTAATTGCCAATTTAGGAGAGAATTTGCCCCAGTAGGACCGAATCATATCTTTTTTACAAAATAAGACAGTCTAATGTTTTTCTATCCGTATCACATATTTACTTCTATTTTAGGAAACATAATTATAACTTTCCAAATTTTCTCCATTAGCTTTTTACGAAGCGAAAATAACTTTCGCCGCTAATGCGGATCTCTGCTTTCGTTCTTCCGCAACGTTCGTCACCCTTTGTAATTGTACTAGTTTCTTCACGCGCGTTGCGCGATATGATAAATGCCCAATATAATATTTTTTACACCATTTTGACAAAGTTTTTTATTTACTGTGGATATACATAAGTCTAGTGATTCAATTCTATTACAAAAGATTAGGAGGAAGAACATGAAATTGAAGCGAGTATTATATGCAAAAATGAATACATCCATGAACCAATCACATAAATGACCATTTCTTTTTGTGAACGAAGCATTTAGAAGGATAAAGTTATGGTCAACATCTCAAGGTCATACATATAAATATTTGAATCCATAACAAAATATATGTCAATTATTGATTGAAATCTTTAAGGATATACTATCTATAAATCAAAATCTAATGCAATGCACAGGCTTATCGATTAATAAGTACACATTCCAAATTTACTATACCCATCTTACAAATTTTTCAGGATATAACATTTTTATATATTTTTAAACAAATGGGAAGGCTATGGAGCGAATACAAGAAATATAAATCAATAAACATACGCATGCAAAGATATAAGTAAGAGTTGATCATATATATTTTAACTCCTCAACCTGTCAATAGATAATGTAATATAAGTAAAGATGTGACTAAATACATTTAAATCTAGAGTCTTAATCTAGTATATGTTATTTATATGCTAACATAGTGTAATAGTGAATCAGAATATCAGGTTTGAATTAATATATAGTTTTCGATAATAGTGACATTTTTAGAAGATGAAACAATGACATCCATAATTTCAAGAGGTAGCACTCTTCAAAATCCGTTTATTTATAAGCAATGGACATTTCTTGTAGCACAATATTAAGGGCAACAAATTTAACAGATTCGTTCCACCAATAACAAACAAGAAAATCATAAATCATTAGCGGTTTAAGTTTTGACTATTTTCTAGACATACCAAAACAGCTCATTCGCACGGTTGGTCAACAAAAGCTCTGTTTCGAGAATGCCTTGAGGACTTTCTACACCAAGTGTTGTCTGGTCCATAACATTATCTACAATTCTTTGTGTCAAGATACTTCCAAATCATAGGTTGTGAAGCTCGCCTCTTCTGGAATTCAATTTGAAAACTGGACACACAATTTCCTACTCTGGAGAAGAGTATAGCTTCTGATTTTCAAGGTCTTATGTTCATCTTTTTCTTTCACACTGGAGGCCTGTGGAGGAGATTTGCGTTTGCTGGAAGAGCCAGAGGAAAATACCTGTTCTTCTCGGAGACATGGTAGAATCCTGAAAGCTTTCTGGGCATTATCAATAATATAGTACAATCGGTGGAAGATGATAATTAGCTCTTGTGTGTAGTAACGACCAACTATAATCATATCACAACCTTAGTAGGGGCATTTTCGTTAGAGCTTCTGCTTCCATCTTCATGTAGCGGCATTTTGACTTATAATCTTATATGTTTCTAAATCATGATGTACAAACAAGAGTAATACTTCTAGTCTGTTCAACATATAAAAATTGATTTGAGACAATGACTCAAATTACTCACAAAATTAATTCTTTTAATTTGAAATGTATATGTCGCAACTAACAATGATTTGACATCAATTGTCTAATAATACAAAAGCACATAGAAAAGGAAAAGTTAGCATCATATCTATCTCATTAGGATAACATAAGTCTGTCACACATTGAAGTACCCCGTAGCATTTTAGTATACTTTCTGGTTATTTTTCCACCTTTTAACATAAGACTTGTGCAAAGACTTGTTTCTTTGCACTTAAAGTCTTATATGTTGTATTTAAATAGAAAATAGATTCAAAAGCAAATCTATTGTCTGCCGGAACATGTAAAAAATAGACGATGACAGAAGCATGTAAAAATAAGCATGAGTCAAATGAGTGTATACGAACCCTTAGATTTGAAAAAATGGCAAAATTAGATCAAAATATAGAAAGGAAAAAATAATGCTCTCCATATCTAAATATTAACATCTCACATTAGTTTACTTGCTATTATACTAAAGTAGTTTAACTCTAGAAAAAAATGGAAGATGACATTGTTGTAATAAAGGGTAAGCTACACATAACTTGTTGTATAGGGTATATTAGTCTCATAGCAATTTCGAACCTTACGAAACTCTACCTATCTATGTTTTTTATATTATAGATTTGGTATATATATAAAGAAATTATATGCCATGAATAAGATTTGAACTGGTGACACAAGGATTTTCAGTCCTCTGCTCAACCAGCTGAGTAATCCTATCAAAATTTTATTATTATTTTCAATGTTCCACATTAATGATTTCCCATTGTTTTACAAAAATCTCAAAGGACTCATGATAAGAGAGTAAAAGAGCTCAAGAATACTTGTGTTAGCAAATCAATGATTTCTAGTAGTCATCTCCAAGATGTTATTAGCAAATCAATGTTTTTCAAAAATTTACATTCTCTGTAAATGGTTTTGATAACGGAAGATTTCATTAGTTTATTTTCAAAATCAAACATATAAAAGTTGAAACAGATAGAACACCTAATTAACAAAAAAAAGGCTAGGAGTGATACAATATTTATTCGTAGTATTTGTACCATTTAACAAAAATTAAAGAAATGTTAATCGGAATGTCACACATGTACACACATGCCAGAATGATTGATTCATATAGCATCTTAAAACATGATTTGTTAAATTAAAGATCTAAATTTGAAAAACATAGTAAAATGTATTAAAACTGATTATATGAATGTAAAAAGAGTTGAAACATATTCCTAAATATACTACTACCAACCAAAGGAAAAGGTGGAGAAAGAGAGTAACTCTATTTTATTTTTAAAAGCATTCCTAATTTGCTCTTTCTTCACAAAATACATTACTAATCAACCTACCTTGTATTTCAGACCACTCTTTAAACTACCAGACTATACATTATGTTTCAAATACTTTTTTTTTTAAAAAGAGCTTTCAAAGCTTTTTTGTGTTGGAACAAACACACAGTAGATATTAAGCAACTATCTTGGTCCGTTTCAAAGGTTATTATGATTTAGTGTATATGTGATTACTTACACTTTCAAAGGTTTCAGATGTTGGAGCTAATGTACTTTAAGTTAACAACATAAAAATCATAATATGCCAAATCTTACTAAACCGTAAGTCTTTATTCTTCATAATAGGAGATTTGAGTGAAACTGAGATAAATAGTGAACATTTTTAAGGTTGCTAATTCAACAGAAGCCATTTTCTATACTACTCCGGTAAGTTGTCAGTGATTGAAAATATAATGTTTAATAAGCTATTAATAATAACCAAAACCAATGAGATTAGAGTAGGTTTAGCAGAAGTCACTCCCAAGTCCCATTAACAAAAGTATAATAAAAAATGTCAATACTAACCAATGAAGTAGATGGATCATGGATATAGTTCTCATCCATGTGTCTTTAGTTCAGATAAAATTGACCTTGTCAAGATTTGTCTTTTAAGTCTGCAAATATTTTCCTCAACTGAACCATTTGAAGAAATTGACTATTAATATTTAATATTTGAGGAAGTTGATAACCCTTCTCATACTCACCTTTAATCTCCTGAAGTTGATTCTATCATTGTAGTAGACTTTAATGTTAATCTTTGATGGATCTCTATCTTTATGGGCGTATATCAGAAGAGCATATTTGACATCCAAAAAAGGTAATATACCTAGACAGTGATTAAATAACTATAACAGTAGAGTTCATATACTTCAGGTAATATACCCGAACAATACAAGTATTTGCATGGCATTAGGATTGAGTAAGAAACTGAGAAGTGAGATCAGTAATGATAAAAAGTACGAGGTAAGAAAACGTGGGTTTGGTAAATAGAAACAAAATAGATCATTAGAGTTTCAAAGAAACCCATCCCAAAAATCTTGTGAGAACTATGAGGCAAAAATGCTTTTGCACTCTAGTGAATTTGATACAATTCTCAAAGCATTTCCATCATTAGTTTAACTTAGTTTAAAAATAGTGTTTTTTTGAGTATTTTTCTTGTAAAAAAATATAACTTAGAGGTAACTCTATTTTACTCAGCCAACTATTTTACTCAGCCAACTATTTTACTCAGAAAAAGAAGTATATGCATCAACTTTGTGGAAGAGTATGTTCCTGGAGTTCATTATACCAAGTAAATAAACCAATTTACTTTTAAAATGAATGCCCACTTTATTATAATGGCATTGTTTTCAATGAATTTTTATGTGAAAAAGATTAGTTGGCGTTGTTAGGAGGAGTGTCAGATTTATTTACTTAGATTTAGATTTCTCTAAAGTTTAGTTGTGAAGAAATATTTGTTTAAAAGGGTAAACAAAGTAAATCTTTTTCATGATTAGTACTTTTAGGAATTTTCACAAACAACTTCTATGCGATATAATCAGCCAAAAAAGCTTTACACTTGTAGTCTTGGAGCACTTAGGCAAAGGATGATATGGGGGCAACACCATCATATTAGCTTACCATAGACCCAACATAAATTCACCTATATTCTGACCATAATGTACTATAAGCACAGCTTGGTAAAAACACAGATTGCAAACAATAGGCACTTTATGATTTCAGTATATCACTTGTGGAATCATTATGTAATGTTAATTATATAATACAACAAGATAATGATATCTGAGAGCTTCATCCGCTCTAGATAATGATATCTGAGCATAATCCACAATGTATTCATATCACTGTGACGAATTGAATCGAATTGGCAAAACATTTGACAACAAAAATGCAAATAAAGTCAACTTCAACAAGGTTTAAAAATCAGAAAGGCTAAATTACCTACAGGAGAAGATAATGAGGAGCCAATTGTTTTTTTCTGCGATTAGTGGCGTCCTCTTGAAGATTTGATAACCAGGGCCGCTTGGTGCTTCGTTTCCTTGATCGGTCGGTCGGTGCGCACGACGGGTGAGACCAGTCAGAGTCTCATATTGTTTGCGATAGCCGTGGCATCTAATGTACGAGATCAATTTGTCTAGACCGTGAAGTAGCTGGATAGGCAAAAGGAATTAGATGGTCTCCATGAGAAATTAGTGGAGTGAATATGTAAAGATTGGATGGTCCCTTGGTCTCTCTCTGCGTGAAGATACCGGAGGTTGACGGAAAAAACAACGATATATGAGGGTACCAACATGAAGTACAATAGCTTCTGCATAATGTACAATATGAAATAGCTATGATGTTACACCAACAAATTTTTCATACCTAAAATAGCCTTACTCTCATTGGTGTTTATAAGTTTTTAGATTTGACTTCAAACTACCATCACAAACTCTACAAATCACTGGCGAATTGCACATATGGAATTATAATTGAATTCCTTTCACAGGTTCATATTCAAAATTTCGGTAAGTAATGATCGAACGAACCTTCCAAAGTTTACGGGTTCATTTCAATATTGATTATGAATGGATTTATTTATATTAATGTTGTTATTAGTTTTTTGTTATTTTCTTCTTCAAACTTTCAATGTGTAGATCTTCTCTCTATTTTTTTTTATTTTCCAGCGTGCACTTGCTTGTTTGAATTTTGTATCTGACTTTTGTGTTTTCCTTGTTTTCTTTGTCCAGTTACTCTGGATATTCTATTTTAGTAAATAATTATACATTCTACATCTATAAGCTCATACTTACTTAGTTCAAACATTTTATTATTAATGTACTTATTCTATCTTACATGTTTGCCACATTTTATGTCACAACACCTCAAGTGACTCCATAAGGAAGACACATACGATTCTTTACAAATTTTGTACAAAAAAGCATGGAATGCGAAAAAAAAATACTCAGAAAAGATTAATGGGGTATTTGACATTTTGACCCTTTAGCCTTTACACATTACACTACTCCCGCTGTCCCGCATATTATTAATTGTGCATGCAAGAAAGAGATGCACATGGCGAATTAATGTAATACTCCCTCCGTTTCTATTTGATTGACACAGTTTGACTTGCCAAGATTTAAGGGGAAAAAGTTATTGAGGGATAAATTTTAATGTAGAGTACACTGTTTGGCACTGTTTGAACACTGTTTGACACTGTTTTGCACTGTTTAGGTAAAGATTTGTTTACCAAATAAGGAAATAAAGAAGCGTGACATTCATTTTGAAACGTCCAAAAAAGGAAAGTGTGTCAACCAAATAGAAATGGAGGGAGTATTAATCACATCAATCTCACCTAAGGCTTGAGTTTATTACAATGAAATAGTATGCTTTTAATTGGACTAAAATTTCCGACCTAATCTGGTTTGACCAGATCTATGTGACTATGTACATTTTATAATTATCTAAGTCTGATCTGATTTGATACTAAAAATAGTCCAAATGAAAACATTTTTATCAAACATTTGCACCATCAATAAAGGAAATTAAAGGTAAAATTACTAGTGAACAAGGACCAATTGGCATTGGCGATAACCCTAAAGCTAGGGGAGATAGAGTAATATTGCACGAAAATATTGGGAGAAAAAGCATTAATCATACCGAAACTTCTTTTGTTTGTGTACGGTTCCAACTTCCACGCCTCAAATATATATTGGATACTTGCATTGCAGGAAAATCAATATGAAAGCACAGTTTGCAAAGTTCCAAAATACTTGGCAGAAAATATTAAACCAACCCATATTGGAAGTTAACTTATTTGTTGACCTGTTTACAAGACATAATAATATGATTTTTTTTCTCTATAAAAGCCGAAATACATCAAGGAGCGTTAGAAGCAACGGCACTGAAACTGCCACATGCCAATTCAACTAAGCATTTCCTCTCCCGTTACAATATTTGATCCAACGGGGCCATCTCCAAGCATGTGCCAAGGCATCATGATTTTGATTCAATGAATAGGCTGGCCTGAGGATGCAACCCCGCCTCTGTAAGGGACATCTCTACCTTGTCGGACCCATAAACCGTGCGGGGGAAGTTGGAAACGAGCCTGTAACTCTCAAACTCTACACGACCCAATGAATCAACATAATCATACAGAGATTGTATGGTTGCTGTGCAGTGAAACCTCCTTCCCTCCCTCTCCCCACTAGGAAAACGCACCACAACCTAAATAAAGGATGCACCAACCAGAACAAGACATTAGTTATTCGTCATTGTACCACATAAGCAAATAAATAAATAAGGACAGAATGACAGATATATGACTAAAATAAGTATAATGGACAAAAATATAACTTTTGCTACATGATGACCAAAGTGGTACTTTCGTAACTAGACTGATATACAATTTTACACTGCTTGATGTTGTAGTGGCATGTCTATATGTTTTTATCCATCAGTTCTATCTTAGTAGTATTATAGGAAAAAGTCAAAAAAATCATATATGAATGGCTATATGAAGAGGGGGGTTTATTATTACTTGGGTAACATCAGGACCCTTGTCAGGTTCGGGGCCGAGGGAGAGAGCTTTCTCCTCCCGCAACTTAGCCAAGGCAACTTCTCTCTCGGCAGCTTCACGTGCTGCCCTTTCACGGGCTTCTTCTTCCTCTTTCCTTTTTCTCTCAGCTTCAGCAGCTTCTCTTGCTAACTGCTCCTCCTCTTCCTTTCTCTGACGCTCCCTAGCCTAAGTAGTTATTATTACGGGGGATTTATTAATGCAATTAATTTAATATGTCAGCAGACAGCTAGTAGTATAAAAAGTTGGTTGAATAAACCAAAACACATACCTGATCAGCTTCGAGTGCAGCGCGATAGGCGGCATCCTGCTCCTCCCTGAGACGTATATTATTTCTTCTTTCTTCTGCTTCAAGCCTAGCTGAAACGAGTACATGAGCACTTTCTTCTACCACTCTTTGTAGTACTGTGAGCAACTCCTCAGCAGATCTTGGCCCCTCAACCTGTACACATATATATAATTAAATAATTACGCTACCTAGCAAAATCTGAGCAAAGAAGTTATGATGGCTGACATTAGAAATAGCTAGGTATTAATGTTAGAGAAAGATGTTTTAGTCATGTACTCCGTAGAGGTATTTCATTTTCTTTCAAAATTAGGTTATTATACTCTTGTAAATTGAACATGATAAACGGAAACTACATTTGGGACAAAATATATAATAAGAGAAAATTAACTTCTCACTAGAAGTTAATGTGCTATTTTCACATAAGCATTTGTAGTAAACCATTAATGCCCCCATACAACTAGAAGTCTAGAACGAATAACATCATAAACTTGATAAAAGCAAATAAATTTTCAGGCTTCAGGACCATACTTTCATCATTTGTAAAACTTTATCGTCACAAATTCCTTCCACACCACTGATATAACAAATTACATGATACATCTGAGTCTACATTACTACCAGCCTACTACTATAAAACACAACACTACAACTCATCATCATTATCATCAGGCAGCTTAACTACGTGGGAATCGGTGACATGAAGTTTAGTGTCATTTAATTGTCTAAAGCATTTAAGAACATAAATTCAAGTAAAAAAGCATAACGTTCGAGTTTTACGCCAGCCTTTTAAAGAAGGAATAATGAGATGAAACTCCGAAACCATCATTGCCACAGGTTTTTTCCAAATTGTATGATAAAAAATCCATAAAATCTGTATCAAAATGTTATGGGAGTTGTCTGGATCACATCCAAGGTCTAGAATGGGAAGGCAGGACAGAGGTAGAGCTGAGAGGGAAGATATGATCTATCGTTGAGAGCGAAGAGTTTTGAAATAATTCTAGAATTGATAGGAAAGAATAAACATTTTCACATCATTTTCATATTATAAATATTTTCACATATAAATATATTAGCGGTCAAAATCTAGATCTTTGACTAGAAAAGTCAAAGATGGCGAACTAAAAAGGACAGAGGGAGTATAAGGCTATTATAATAACCTTAATCATAATAGGAAATATAAAGCTAGTCTTGAAGCTAATTAATACTAATTAATACTCCCTCCGTCCCGCTAAGATTGTCCCATTTTACCTTTTCGATAAATCCCACTAAGATTGTCCCATACCAAATTTGGTAAATTTTGTGTGGCTCTAAATCATTTTTACTTTATTCTTACTTTATCAATTTAATATCAACCACACATACCCACTTTTCTTAATAATCGTACCACCTTTTCTTGTCCCAATCTTAGTGGGACGGAGGTAGTACTAAATAAAGAAATATCAACGCCTACCCCTAACTAATGATAAAATGCCACCACCACCACTACTAGTAGTAGTAGTAACTAGTAATATTTGAAATAACCCCTAATAATCGCAAGACTTCTTCAGAACTACACGTGGCAGTAACAGGAATTGTGCCCACATGACCATATTATGGCAGAGAACGAGAGATGTTAAAATAGTGTTTGCCCATATTATGTGTTAGACCGGCAAAGCAATCCTTTTGCCACCAAAGTTTCCAACATATTGACATGGAATACAAGTGGAAAGGTGGAAATTGATTTATGACTTTAGATATTAATAAGAACGAAAAGGAAACACGTGTTTGAAAAGGCCTGCCCACTGCCCACTTCACAACGCATTTAGGCAATATAAGGCTCACAGCTTTCAGCCTTCCACAGGCTGTGGTGGGAGCAGAATAGAAAGTATGTGCCATGCTGTGGAGGGGTTGGGCTGACAAGTTCTTTCTTCATCACTCAGAAAAAAACATAATTTCCTTTAGCTGAAGTTGTTTATCATTATGAAAAATACTGGCCAGGGTTCCAAGCCCTGCCATTGAACATCATAAAAGTTAGCTAAAGTTTGATAATTAGTTCAAAACAGATCAAAACAGTTAAAGTGCAGAAAACAAGGTATGCGCCAGGCTGTGGTGGGGCTGATAAGTTTTTTCTTCATCACTCAGAAAAAAATAATTTCCTTTAGCTGAAGTTGTTTGTCATTATGAAAATACTGTCCAGGGTTCCAAGCTTTGACAATGAACTTCATAAAAGTTAGCTAAGGTTTGAAAATTAGTTCAAAACAGAGCAAACAGTGTGGGCGGCCACAGAAGTTTCCTACATCAATCAAGTGATCAACAGCGCCCATCATAGGAAACTTCCAACTGCTACCGCTAAATGATAACCGAAAGCAAAAAGCTTGACTTTACTAAACAAGCAAAGCGAAAGGTACAAGGTGACTCAACTGAAAGGAGAGGTGAGAAGATACTTAAGCATACTTTACATTTCCATCTTTTCTAAATAATGGTACATGTTCAATTCTTTCCGTTTCGACTTTCCAAAAGTGTCCAGTTTATCTTGTTGTATGCAACTTTAGGTGTGTATTCAGGTCCACAGAGAAGAATATGGAGATGAAAGAAGAATAAGGATGAGTTGAACATTACTAGTCTATGAGGAAAATGAAAAATGTGATCTTTAATGTTTTCTTTAATAAACTCCAGCTTGAACTGTTATAAGTGCAATTGCAAATACGGTATCATTTACTATTTTTATGTTATCTTTAAAATTGTGGAACTTGTTCACAAATTGAAACCAGTTAGAGCACTGTCAAATTTTTACTACCCTTCGCTCCGTTCATATTGACCACAGAGGAGTTTACGTAATGGGGGTGAATGAGAGAGTACTATTTAAGCGTGGGAGGAAGGTGATTAAGTACTCAAAAGGGATAGTAGGTATAAAGTAGCCCTACACACAAAATATAACTCTAAAATGTAGATCCATATCCCCTGTCACAAGTCTCATTTTTCAATTTGTACTGTGCAACCGCCCCTTCTGGCACAAATCTTCAGGGGAGTGATTTCATTATTTATATTGGTTCGCTCTATGTCTAGTTTTTTTAATCTTTAATTGCTTGAATTGTACAGATTTCCAGAGTGAACCATTGAGCTTTTCTGTACGAAGTACTCCGTATATTTTTTAAGAATTGTATGCTGTTAAGTTTGTTAGACATTTTTGCTTGATTTATGTTTGTGCATGTTAAGATTACTTACAAATAGTAAATACTTAGTTGTTTAGCTTTGAGGTTATCCTTGTCAATTCCAATGTTTTGCTATACATTAACTACACGTCTTTACATTACTCTCCAAACAAGGTCAAGAAACTACTTACATCCCGTCACTGCCTACCCACACTCAAAGTGTTAACATCCTTCAACCATAAATTTTATGATCATAGCACCACATATACAGAGTGAGTACTGACCATAAAAGCAAGGAGCATCCGAGTAAAGAGTAATTTTGATTCTAGAAACAGTCAAGGTAGAGGAAGATTAATTCTTTAATATACCTGCTGAAGCAGGGCTATCCTCTGGTTTGTTGCAGCCATAACCACAGCACAGAAAGGATACCTTGACGCCTTCAAACTGTTACTCATTTTGAATCCCTCACTTGCTCTGATGCTACCACCCCAGGCCACAAAATTCTCATTGATAAACTCAACCAAGGCCTCATTACACAGTGTTCTCTCACAGAAAACAGGAGTGTCTGGATGATCAGGGGAATGCAAGTAAACAAACAGGAGCTTATAAGCATGCCTGGACCTCTGCAAAGCGTCCATAAAACCCTCGGAAACGAAGTTGGGTCTTGTGCTTCCAAAATCAGCTTCGAACGAGTCTACAAAAGCCATGGCTTCCGATGATGAAGGTGATCCCGGAATCAAGGGGGTGGATGATTGACGGTTGCGGCCAGAATTGAGGCCGACCATGCCCAAAGAATACGAAAGAACGCCACTGGCAGCCCACATCCCCAGCCCAATTGCACCCGAAATCAAACCCAGACTACCAGAAATGATAGAAAACGGAAGCGTGATGAGTTTCCAAGCCAGTCCAGGAGGCCCGCCATCGCCGGCCACGACCAGTCCAGCTTCCGGGCGGTCTTGGTACGCTTCCGCGGTGGACGCGGTAGGCAATTGAGAGCTCGTAGCGGCTGCAGCTTCAGAGAGATTGCTGTCAGATAAAAAAGCGGACACGGCTAGTTCGAGATCCCATCCATGCGCGGCGAGGATCTCCGTACACAAGTCGGAGTCTTCAACCCCGGTGATCGCTTTAAAATACGCTAGTTTATCAGCCACATCCCCCATTTCCCCTCCCAGTGTACTTGTGTATTGGCTGAGAAATTAGGGTTTTGATCACAGAGATTCACCTTGATACGTGTTCGAAGAAATAAGATCATTAACTTTTTCATTAACTCGGCTCTCTACTCCATAGTCAATACCTTAACAATATACAGTAAGTACAAGGATAAATTTATAATACGGAGACAACGTAGTACACATACTCCGTAGACACTAAAGTCATACGTAGTATTTTATTTTTATTTTATTTTATTTTATTTTATTTTATTTTATTTTATTTTATTTTATTTTATTTTATGAGTAATAGTCCTATGAAACTCGACCAAGTTTGATCAAAAAATAGTGTGCTCAAGATGTCTAAGACGAAAGAAAATTAATTAGAATCATAAATTTCTTACTTATAAAGAAAAGTGATACAAATTAATGAGAAAAACCAAAAAAGGATGTTTTAAGAGACAAAGGGAGTACGCCATAACTTGTAACTCGTAACTCGCAATTGCCGTAAGTTGTCATTATAAAGATCGGGAAAGGCTATTTACATTGACCACGTAGAGCCCGTTTGGTAACACGAGAATCTAACGGAACTAATTTTAAACAAACAATTTAATTAACTATACAAAAACATCTGTGCTTCCATTCCATTTCAAATACATCCGCCTCTGGGTCTAGCTGTCTAAGTAAATACTAGAGAGAATTCCCTAAATAGGAGTAAAAACGTTTTGAAATTCCAAAATAGGAGTACCATGTTTTTTATTCCTTGAATAGGAGTAAATTTCTGCCAAGTTTGGCATTACAAGGCTTTTAAACATGACATTTTTTTCCAAACTTGGCAGATTACTCCTATTCAAGGAATAAAAAACATGGCACTCCTATTTTGGAATTTTCAAAACATTTTTACTCCTATTTTGGACAATTTCTGTAAATACTATCCTCCATTTTTTATAATCGAAACATGTTGAATTTTATATTATTCACATGTTCTACTTTGACTACATTTTATGGTATTATTTTACATAATTATTTTTTTAAGAAAATATTGTTCGATTCATCTCATTACAAATTTTCAAAATCCGATTTTTTTACTAATAGAGATTAAGATATAATTACGGTCAAAGACGTGCGTTGGTAGGTGTAAAATGTTGACCGTTGCAACTAAAAAAGAACGGAGGAACCGAGGAAGTATAATTCGTGTCATGGATTTAATTAAGCTTCTCATGCATATTAATGGTCTCCGATTCCTCAATAAAAGTGCTCTCACCCAAAGAAATAAAGCTATCGACAAGAAAATGGTTGGAAGCATCACACCAAATCAATTACAAACAAGTCAGCCCCGAAGTTTTATTAACTCAAAGGAGTGGTTTAAAAATTTAAACATATTAGTTCTTGTGATTTTAAAATTAGCGTCAAACTCTCGTGTGTTATAAATGTTCATGCGCGTAACCCCCAAAGAACATGGAGTAATTCATTGGCAAATAAAAGAAAAATGATGAAAATTTTAATTTAAACTAGAGATCATTTTTGTTATAAATAAATCAGTGTTTTGCTTTAGATGTTTGAGCGCAAGTCTTTTAGAATGTATTGTGACACTTCACAATAAGGCCATGTTTGGTATGATGTAATGAATATTGTAATGTAATGAGTATTACGTGTTGATGATTCAAATATGATGTTTGGTATACCATTTTATTTTAAAACGTAATGTAATGGGCATTGCATGTGTGGAATTCATTACATTCATAGGTGTAATAAACTTTACATTGAAAAAGTTGTGTATTTGAGATTACCCATTATAGGGTGTATTTGAGATTACGGAAACCTCCTTCATTTTTACTTCCGCCCCCATCCAGACATTTCCGTCCAGATCTCGCACATCCATCGCACCATCCAGATCACCACATCTCCGCAAAATGTGATGTAGCTTTCCATCCGCTCGGTAAGCACTGCACTGCTGTCAAGCTTACTGCTAGTCTACCGCCCAGAGCTTCAACCGTTGCTCGTCGCTGGCCGGCAGTTTCATCTTTGTCCGGCAGTTTTATTTAATTGTTTTTTTACCGTTACTGGAATTAAATGCACCATCTACGATTTTCAACAAACATAAATGCTTGCTAGTTGGCCAATTTTGGACGCGCATTGACAAATTCCCGTGTTTCTATTTTATTTTATTCCGAAGATTACGTTTCAAAGTTGTTATTACTTAAGTAACCAAACATAGTAATGGAATAGAGACTCTATTCCATTACATTGCATTTTGTATTGCATTACGCTAGGGGTGAGCAAAACCGACCCTACCCGAACTACCCGATCGGGTATAACCGATTTTGGGTATATGGGTCGGTTGACCCGACCCGCCAACGAAAACCGACCCGCCAGCCTTTTAGATTTGGGCCGATTAATAGCGGGTAGGGTACTCCTAAAGCCTACCCGACCCGCCCGACAACCCGACCTAGCCTAAGCCCACTACCCACAAGCCCATACCCATTAACCTCTAACCCATTAACCCCAGCCGGCCAACCTTATTTCCCTTATCCACTGACCACTTATCCCTATTTCCTTTCTCCGGTTAACCCTAACTTACACTCTCTATCTCTCGATTCTCTCTGACTCTCTCTAAGTGGCTAACCCTAATAACTTACACTCTGAATTCTCTCTTCGTCAGCCGTCGCTGCCGTCGCTGTGGGGCTATAATCCTCAACCTAGTGGAAGCATTCATCTAATCATCTCCTTCTAGCCGAGCGTGTTGGTTGTGTGACTCAGTGAGTCTGTGAGTAGTTGACACTTGAGACTGATTCCCGATCTTTGTTCTTTGAGCCGTTGAGGTATAAAATACTTAAACATGTTCTAATGTTTGTATATATTTCTGAAAGTTGCATGTTGAGATCTTCACACTTAGCTGTATTTCTGAGTTCAGTCATGTACAGACCTGATTTCGGAGTTGCATGTCCCTGTTTATTTGAAAATTGAAATATGAATGTCGAACTGTGGAAGCTATATTATATTATTATATGTAGTCTGATATTCATGTGTTGCCTACTGTGGAGATGTTGTTCTGACTTGTATACTTGAGTTTAGACATGTATGGTTGTATACTTGATTTCTGAGTTTAGACGTGTATACTTTGAAATGTAGAAGCTTAGTGTGGAGATGTGGTTCTGACTGTGGAATGTATATATTCATGTGTTGGCAGATATTCATGTCATCAATCATCATGTGTTGCCTATTCATATGTTTCATGTGTTTCCAGTCTGATATTCATGTGTTGCCTATTCATATGTTTCTTCTGTGGAGATGTGGTTCTGACTTCTGACTTGTTATACATGAGTGATGAGTTAAGACCTGTATATACATGAGTTCTGACATTCACTTGTTGATTGTTCCATACACATGTTATGATTATTATCTGTGAGATATGATCATATGAACTATGTGGAATAGTGGAAGCTCAGTATGACTGTGGTCTGTGGAACTGTGGAAGCTTAGTATACACCTATCAAGTATCAATATATCATGTGTGGCTTACTTGTAATGTTATCTGTTGTACATAACTGATTAACTGCATTCTTACTTTTGTGAAGAAGCCTTTTTGTACTCTAGTACTCAAACGAGTACAAAGAGTGAATTGGTTTCTTCAGAGTCTGTAGAGAAGTGAAAAAGCAAAGTGCTTTTATCCTTCTGTAAATCAGCTTGCTGATTGTTCCAGACTTACATATTATCTATGAGATAATAACTATGTGTCTATGTGGAAGCTAAGTATTAAATTATCATGCGTTACTGTGTGGTCATGCTCATTAGATGGACCTTGAACAAACTGTGACCTTTTCTATATCTGGATCTCAACCTCCTCTGAGTCAAGAAACACTGGTGGAAGGTCAAACTCCTGAACCTAACATTATCCATGACAATGATCAGACTGCACCACCTGCTGTTTCTGGACAAAAGAGGAAAGTTGTAGAACCAAGATCTAAGATATGGGAGCACTTTGTCCAAATTAAAGATGAAAAGGGTGTGGTTATTAAAGGCAGGTGCATATACTGTGCAAAAATATACTGGTGCCACTCTAAGAAACATGGAACTTCCTCCATCAGAAATCACATGCTTAGTTGCCTGAAAAACCCTCATGCTAAAGACACTAGACAGGACCTATTAACCTTCCAGCCTGTCCCTGCACAGATAGGTGAACCCTCTGCAAATATTGGGGTGATTACGCACTTCACTTCATTGCATTACATTACATCATACCAAACATGGCCTAAATTAAATTGATTATGGCTCGTTGTTAGAAGTTTAGAACTTGTCAGTGTTCATTTACATGTGATCCATATAAAGCATAAACTTTGAGGGCCTGAGGTTGCTAAAATTCAAAAGAGAAACGAGAGCACGAGAAAGTCTAGGGGTTAACAAAAAAACGAAAAACCGAAACCGACCGACAAACCGACCGAAACCGAACCGACCAAAACCGAAACCGACTCAAACCGAAACCGACTAAAACCAATTAATCATTGGCGGTTCGGTTTACGGTTTCACCTTCCGGGTTAAAAAACCGATCGAACCGAAACTGACCGATAAAACCGACAAAAACATGCTAAACCGACCAAAACCGACACAAACCGACCAAAATTAACCGAACCAAAACCGAACCAAAACCGATTCAAGTAGTGCGGTTCGGTTTACAGTTTCACCTTTTCTAAAACCGAAACCGACCAAACCGAATCGACAAAACCGAAAACCGACCAAACCGAACCGACTAACACGACAAAACCGAAAACCGAGCCGAAAACCGACCAAACCGAACCGAACCCCTACGAGAAACTACCTAAAGAGTTTTAGAGCCCGTTTGGTAACATTGAAATCAGCTGAATCGGCTGATTCTACTGAAATTTATGAAATTCTGTTTGAAGTGACTGTATTTGTTGATTATACTGATTTATGAAAAAATTATATTTAAAATATATTTTATTAATAAAATAAAGAAAAAATTATATGAATAAATAGCTAAAATGGTCATCTGCAGTAACTTCAGCCAGTACAGCAAAAAAGTAAGTCCAATCTTACTTTTTCCTATTATTATACTCCGTACAATTCAATGCATGAAATCAAAAGTTACGTGTTTGTTTAAAAAGTTGACTCATAAGCTTGATAAGTCGAA